AGTAGGGAGAGAATGGACATGGGCATGGGAACACTGCATGACACAGGATTTAGGCTGCATGGTCCTTCCATCCTGATAGCATATCCATTCTCTCTCTCTCTCTCTCTCTCTCCCTCCCTCCCTCCCTCCCTCACTCCCTCCCTCCTTCTCCTCCTTCTTCTCCCTCTCCCTCTCCCTCTCCCTCTCCTCGAGTCTCACTGTTCTAAATCATTCAGTAAAAGTCTCACTGTTCTAAATCATTCAGTAAAAAGCATGATTCAAGCATCTTAGTTTTATCTGAGACTTTTGGTCTGTCACTTCTTATATATCTTGCCTGGTATTGCATTTAAAGTCTACAAAATATCAAGGTAATTTGTTATCATGATATGGAATGATAAAAAAAGGTAAAAGTAGCTGAATGCTTTGGTCAATAAGGGGGAAAGACATTGACAAAGACACCTGTAGATTGAGCTGTAAGTTGAGTTATTTTTACTTATAAGCAAGGAAACAGAGAGCCCAAGAACCCAAGTTTCACCTCCCAAATACCATCAGAGGCCCAGAGATACAAGAGCACACCAACCCAAGGGATAGGACTCATCCAAGTTATTGACTCCTTCACTTTCCATGATGCTTGAGACAGAACAATCTAGGTACAACAACACAAAAGTTAGTACCTGCAGAGCCCAGCGGGTACTTTAAATCACTAAAGGGCACATTTGGGCACCTAAGCTATATTTCTTAAATGGCATGTACTTGTGGTGAATTGAAGAAAGTAATTGCCTTAAGGTGGCAGCTGAAACTTGGCTCCATATGAAAGTTCCCATGGGAACAGGGCCCAGTCAATATTTTTAAGAAAGACCAGAAATAATAGAATTTTATGAGCACTTGTCCAGTTAAAAACTCACTAGTTTGCCAGGATCTTAGTTTCTAAATATTACCATTTATCCAATAACAGGAACTAGGGCTCTCTAGAGAAGTGGCTGAGGCAAAGAAAATGCATCATGAGCTTAGAGCATCTTGTAGTGCCAGAAAGTCAGGAACTGCTACACACACACACACACACACACACATTGATGAGAGTATGTCAAAGGCACACAAAAGCCAATTAAAAGGGTTTCTAATAGCCAAATCTGGAACAATTTTTTTCTTTCTTCTTCCTGGTTTACTGATGTAGCTCTAAAAGCTATATTGGAATATGAGAAAGCCTTAAGACTGGAACAACAACAACAACAAAACAATATGCAGGGTAGGGTAAAAGTAGGTTTATAGTTGTAAGAGAAACACAAGAGTTTATTCTTATACCATTATTTATTAACTAGAGGGTGTCCCTCAACCCGGCCTGCACCCTCTCCAATCTGGGACCCCTCAGGCCTAAACCGGCAGTCGGACATCTCTCTCACAATCCAGGACCACTGGCTCCTAACCACTCACCTGCCTGCCTGCCTAATGCCCCCAATTGCCCTCCCCTGCCGGCCTGGTCACCCCCAACTGCCCTTCCCTTGCTGGCCTGATCTTGCCCCCAACTGCCCTCTCCTGCTGGCCTGCTTGTCCCCAACGGCCCTCCCCTGCCAGCCTGGTCACCTCCAACTGCTCTCCCCTGCCAGCCTGATCTCACCCCAACTGCGTCTGCCTCAGCCCCCACCACCATGGCTTTGTCTGAAAGGAAGTCGGACATCTGGAAGATGGCTGGTTGACCCCGTCTAGTTAGCATATTACCCTTTTATTAGTATAGATAGATTATATAGGAAAGGATTGCTTAAATTGGGGGGGGGGCTTTTTTAGTAGGAGGAGATGCTTTTGGCAGACAAAAATACATAACCCTTATATCTGGACTGATAGCCAGCCATATGTACTATACTGCAAAACCAGTTATTAAAAAAATTGAACCACTTTCTTACACCTTACACCAAACAACTGTTGCCCTTAAAACCCCTCCTCAGCCCCTACCTTAGGTTCTGCCTTTGCAGTTCACCCAGATTTGGTTCTGATTGGCTGGTTTCTATGCCAGTCAGCATCAAAAGCTCCGCCTCCTAGGCAGCCATTGGCTCCTCACAGTTCACCCAGATTTGGTTCTGATTGGTCAGCTTCTATGCCAGTCAGCATCTTTGGGCCTATCTCCAGACCTGATCAGAGAGGCGGGCTGATCAACAGCCCCCGCGAGAGAAACAGAGGCACAGCTGCTGGCGAAGCCCAGAGAGAGAGAGGCAACAGCTGATCAACAGCTGCCACGGAGGCTGCTGATCAGATCCTGCCTCTCTCTCCGGGCCTCTCTCCAGGCCTGATCCACAGCCCCCTTGGCAGTCAGTGCTGGGTCGCCACGGCAACCCAGCACTGACTGCAGGACTGACTTCCAGTGTTCAGGGGAGCCTTTGGTTGGTTGTTACAGACCCTGGGTTTTCACATATTGGGCTTACCCAGAGTGGAGCACATCACTACAGGGCTGAGATTGATGCTGGGTAGACATCTGCATCTGTGTTGTGTGTGTGGTGTGGCTGACCAGTAGGTGAGTATTCCTGCGTGTGTGAGTGAAGCCACTCCCAGGCTGGTGCTCTCCTCCTGTGCCCGGTGACTGCCCAGTGGCAGCTTTAGCTGCCCTTCACTCCCACCTGCTGCCAAAGTCCCTGTGCTAATGGGATTACAAAAACAAAAAGTGGAAAAAATTTTTCGTAAACTTTGGTTTATATTTTTAAAAATCCATAAGTATGTGTGTGTGTTAAACACGAGGTCCTGCCTCTGTGGCCATGTTTGAAAAAATAAAGTTTTATTAGAATAATACATTTTCCCAAGGAAAAAAAGAAGAAGAAGTTTGCCCAGCCCTTTTGAGAGGTTTATGGCAGTGGAGGGTGGGAAAATGAGGAAACTTACATGGATGGACAAAGTCAAGACATTGGAAAGTGCAACGGGGCCCACTTCATTAATCTGAATGTTTCTCACTTCTTTCCACCACTGCCCCACATATTTAAATGGGAGTTTTAACCTAAAAGGGGGGATTTAGAACATTTACTTTTGTCTTGCTGGAGAACGAGGAGAGAAACAATTGAGCTGCTGCTGCATCTTGACTTCCCTGGCAGGGATTCCTGAAGAAAAGCTGGGAAATGTGATACTACAAGTAGTGGCTTGTAATAGGCCCTGGAGTGTAATCACAATTCTCTTTGAGTCTTGCAGGTGAGGAAATCCTTTTTCCCAGGTAAAATAAGAGGATGTCAGGCTAAGTAGATTTCCCTGCATTATCCTGGGGAATCCCTCTGAATCACAGGAAGGGAAAAGATGAGATAAAGAGGGGCCCAGTGGCCAAGACGGAGCCAGACTGGGTGGCTTTAGATCCCATTAAAGAGACCTCAACAGGCAATGATTTGGTATATAGATTACTGTACCCTGTGCATGGGAAAAACACTGGGTTTCTCTGTCTAGGTGAGCTGGATTTGGAGGCAGCACATGTGTATTTTTCAGCCACACCCATTACCTATTGTGTCTGGAGAGAAGTCACTGACAGTGAAGCCATCTGGGTGGATGGTAGACTGTCATCTCTCTGGGGATTTCCAGTTCTGAGGTCTCATAGGTATTCAGTGCCAACTCAGGCAAAACCTTGCTGCCTGTGTGGGAGAGAGAGAGCCCGAACAGAGGAAGTCAGGTGTGCAGGTGTGGGCTGCCTTCCTGTGAGGTGGCCTGCTACCGCTTCTACATTCTGTTGCTAATTCTGAAGGTTGATTTCATATGAGAAGCATTTTGGCTGAGGTTTAGAGGCCATCCCCACCCTGGGCTGGAAGGCACACCTGTAATTAGGGGAGAATGTAGTGCTCAGGGTTGTCTTTAAGAGTGTTGGGGATTTCCCTCCCTCCCGGGGCTGGCTATCTGGCTGTATCCCCAGTATACCCACCCAGTCTTGCTTAACCCATTGATACACCTGTGGGCTAACTGGAAAAATAGAACAGAAATGTGGCATCAGAGATCCACGTTCATGTCTTCATTCCAGACCTCCTTACTAGTACCTGCGTGGCCTCCTTTTTTCGTATTGGTAAAGACATGGTGATGACATCTGTCCTTTTTACTTCTTGAGATTCTTATAAAAACAAAATGCAATAGTGTAAAAAAAAGAACGTGGACTCGCAAAGTGTCATTGTTACCGTTTTAGTTTATCAACTCTGTGTCTATAGGGAAGCCAGTCCAAGGTTCATTTCCTATGATCACTGTTGCCCAGGGTGAGCTTGTCAAAGAGGTACTCTGCCATGTTGCTTCCAGAGCCCCCAGCTTGCTACTCAGAATCAACATACATTAACATATGTGTAGCTGAATGAACAAAAACATTTCTGGTCAAATTGAAGACCCACCCCCTTTATTTTAATCCTTGCCCAATCCCATTCTCTTCTCTCCTTCCCCAGAGGCAACTACTATGATAAATTCTAGACCATTTTATTTTTATTTTTAAAAATTTTTAAATTGATTTCAAAGAGGAAGGGAGAGAGAGAAACAGCAATGATTAGAGAATCATTGATCTGCTGCCTCCTGCACGCCCCCTACTGGAGATTGAACCCCCAACTCGTGCATGTTCCCTGACCGGGAATTGAAACATGACGTCCTGCTTCATATGTCCATGCTCAACCAGTGAACCACCAATACCGGGCTAGACCATTCTTAAAAATACTTCTATGCATATCCACCCACATTCACCAGGCCCCCAGACCATCCACCTCACCCCACCCCCATATACCACACTATAAGGGGAAGATTAGTTTTGTGATTTCCAGGGTCCCATGGAATATCTCCTCCCACCATCCGTGGAGATCCCAAGCTGCACATGGGGATGGGTGGGTGGAGAGACTCTGGGATACCTTTATAAAACCTAAAAGGCGAGGGTTTTACACCAACCAACCAGACAACTTGATTTAGGAGCCAAGAACTGTATTGCAAGATGTTAAAACCCAGAAGGGCAACATTGCTACATGCATTCCCATCACATGACCAGAGGAAGTCACCACCCCCATCCCTCCCCTCCGGCCGTGGGAAAGCAGTCCAAGTTCAGTTCAGTTCTTTTTGTCATTCAGGGAGAGCTTGTCAAGGAGATTCTCCGCCAGGCTGTCTTCCGAGGTACTTGGGAACACAGGGAAGTTGCTGATATGATCCCTGAGCTCTTTAATGGATTTCACCTGGTCATGCACACAGTTGTGCTCCAGGAAATCCGACAGGCGGGCGTCGTTCTTCGCCACGGCCAGCTGGTGGATATGCAGCAGGTTCTGGTTGACGTTCATGGCCAGGTCCAGGGCGTGCTCTAGGGCCTTCAGACCGCTGTCCCAGTAGTTGTAGTCAGGCGTGTCGATGTTGCCGTTGTACACGCGGGTTTGGCCGCTGCGCTGGTTCTGCAGGCGGATGAGCCTGTCCGCGTGCTCCTTCATCTGGGCGGCCTGTCCCAAGAAGAACTTGCCCACGTACTTCAAGGTGACCTGGTTCTCTTCGAAATAAGTAGCCATGGACTTGTACACATAGATGACATAGAGTTCCAGGTGTATCTGGTGGTTGACGGCAGCCTCGCAGGCAGGGTGGTAGCTGTCCAGTGCTTGTGAGCGTCTCGGCGGGGTCGTCATGGCTGGTGGTTCAGGTGCCGGGACCAGTGAAGCCAAGGCAGCGCGGAGGCTGGGGCTGCGGAGGCAACAGCGGCGTTGGGCGAGGCGGCGGCGACGGGGTCCTCCGAGTCTACCCAGGGTGAGAGACTTCGGTGGCCTTACCCAGAGTGAGCGACTTGGGAGCTGAGCCACAGCTGGTCTGCCCGCTTGAGGTAGAACAGGCAGTAGGGTCTGTTAAGAGCTGGCGTTGGGCGTGGAATGTGGAATCCCTACAGGAGGGCATTGTTGGGTGCAGCGTTCTGCGTTCCATGTGAGCCCCAGGCAGGAAACCTGGGTTACTCTGTGCTGAGTGTCTCAAGAGCATTTTTTTAAAAAGGCTCTGATGAGATACAATGTATATACTATAGCATTCACCTTTTGCAAGTGAACATTTCCATGGTTTTAAAATATATAATATGTATTATTGATTTTAGAGATGAAGGGAGAGGGAAAGAGAGAGAGAGAAACATCAACGATGAGAGAGAATCATAGATCGGCTGCCTCCTGCACATACTACACTGGGGATCGGGTTGGGCTGCAACCCAGGCATGTGCCCTGACAGGGACTCTAACCTTGACCTCCTGGTACATAGGTTGATGCTCAACCACTGAGCCCCACCAGCTCAGCCATAGTTTGTAATATATTCATGGAGGCAGGCAACACCACAATCTAGTTTCAGAACATGTTCAGCACTCCAAAAGGCAGTTCCTTACCCAGGAGCAGTTCAGTGCCCAATCTGCTTCCCCTCAGGAAGGGCAATCATTGATCGACTTTTCGTCTCTATGGATTTGCCTATTCTGGTCATTTCAAATAGATGGAATCCTACCATATGTGGCCTTTTGTGTTTGGCTTCTTTTACTTAATATAATGTTTTTAACATTCATCCTTTAAAAAAAAAACTACTTTCATTGCTCTAGCATTTTGTGTGTGGCCCCAAAATTTCCATAGTGTTTTAAGAAAAATTTGTAAGTTATCTCTGAGCCTCCTGGTGGGATTCCTGCATTGTGTCTCTTTACTTCCTTTCGTTTGTATCTTGGAAAAATGCCTCTTGGATTTTCTATCAGAATGTGACTCTTCATTCATAAAATAAAAACATACTTGAAAACTCATGGCAGCTTCTTGGTTGTGGTTCGGTCTGTTTGCCTTTTTTACAGTCTTTGCAGAAGATTTTCAGAGATTTGCAATGGCTTCTTTATTTGAGACAGTGTGTGAGAAGTCACAAGGTCTATCCCAAGTCTATTCCTTCTATATACAGACATAACAGATTGGAATCACTGAACATTTCCTGCAGAGAAAAACCTTAATTTGCATTATGAATGCAGCATGGGTGAGTACTCCACAAGAGTATATACATACAATGCAAGTGCCACAATCATCTAAGCTCACACTGTGTACTGCCAGATCATACTCAATAATGGTCTTAGCAAGTCCTAGTGAAGATTATAGAATATTAAGAAAAAGTTTTTCTTTTCTATTTAAATAAAGCTGCAATAAATATAGGGTTGCATGCAGTATTTCATTACGTGGATATACCACATTTTATTTATCCTTTTATCAGTTTATGGACTTTTGGGTTGTTTTCTTTTTTGTAGCGCTATGAATAATATTGCTATAAACATCTGTGTAAGGTTTTTGTGTAGACATATATTTTCAATTCTCTTGGGTATATACCTAGGAATAGAATTTCTGGGTCATGATAACTTTAATAGTTTGAGAAACTGTGAGAATGTTTTCCAAAATGACTGGATCATTTTACATTCCCACCAGCAATGTGTGAGGGTTCGAACACTGTTATTGTCTGTATAGAAATTATTTTTTTAGTTGTCTTAAGTGGATGTAAGGTGGTATCACATTGTGGTTTTAATTTGCACTTCCCTAATGACTAATGCTGTTAAACATCTTTGTATGTGCTTATTGGCCATTTGTATACCTTCTTTGGAGAAATGTCTATTCAAATCCTTTGCCCTATTTTAAGTAGAATCATTTGTCTTTTTATTGTTGAGTTGTACAAGTTCTGTGTATGTTCTAGAGATACAAGTTCCTTCTCAGATATACAATTTTAAAATATTTTCTCCCAGTCTGTGGGTTGTCTTTGCACTCTCTTAACTGTGTCCTTTGAAGAACACAAGTTCTTAAAAGCTCAACTTATTTTTTATTTTGTTGAGGTTTGGATGTCATATCTAAGAAACTATTGCTTAATTCAAGGTCAAAGATTTACATCTAGGTTTTCTACTAAGAATTTTATAGTTTTAGCTCTTACATTTGGGTACCTTAAGGTCTCTGATTTTTATTGAGTTCATTTTTGTATGAGATGTGACGTATGGATCTAACTTCATTCTTTTGTATGTGGATTTCCAGTTATCCCAGCACCATTAATTGAGAAAGCTATTCTTTCTCCATTGGATGGTCTTGGCACATTTGTTGAAAATCAATTGACCATAGATATATCAGTTTATTTCTAGACTCCTAATTGTATTCTGTAAGACCATATGGCTAAAGTTATGCTAGAATAACACTGTTTTGATTATTGTCGCTCTGTAGTAAATTTTGAAATAGGGAAGTATGAGTCGTCCAACTTTATTTTTCTTTTCAAGATTGTTTTGGCTACTCTGGGTCCCTTGTATTTTTATGTGAATTCTAGGATAAGCTTACAACGTTCTTTAAAAAAAAAAAGCTAACTAGTTTGGGTGAGTATTTATAGCTTAATAATATTAAGTCTTTTGATCCATAAACCTGGGATGTCTGGGACCTCTTAAAATATAGATTCTGATTTAGAAAACCAGAAGCACCTGAGAACAAAGGGAGTGGTGAGAGCTTCCAGGCAGGGAAAGTAGTGAAAAACTATTTAAACAGTGGGGGGTTGGACAGCCTGCTGAGCTTTTGCCTCCTGCGTTACTGGTGCCTGCGGTCCCGCCATCCCGCC